GAAATGATCACACAATACATTAAGGGTTTAAGCCACTTTCACTGCTTATACTGCTTCAATGGTTTTGACGTGTTTAACCATGCAGAGAAAGCCACAAGGAGCGTCAAAATCTGTGCGTTTTAACATACATAAATTGTATACCACTGGACCAAGAAATTGATGGCAGGCACAGTGTATCCGTTCTTGTTCTTCTGAGCGCATAGTGATAGTGAACATTTATTTCTTAAATTTCTTGCATTTACTTTGTGTGTCAGATGAACAATGAAATTCAAATTAGAGCTTCATTTTTTCTGCCTCAGTGGTTTTAGTTGACTCAGCCGGCCGAAAGGCAAGCAAACTCGTCCAAACGCCTCAGTAATTTGTAACGGAGACTTCCAAATCAACATCCTTTCTTGTTTTTGTTGTTTTTCTTGTATTTCTGTGCGTTTCAACGTTAGACGAAACTTGTTGTGGCATGTCACGCTACTGTCAGCTAACCTATTCTTTTAGCCCTATTGTGTGAAATTTTTAAGTAAAACTCACGTGTTTTTAATAATATTACAGCAGTCAATCGTTCATGCAAAACTGCGCCGGCCATAGCCAGAGCACCAATCATGATCACCGGTCTATCCGGGCAGCCATGCATTGGGTTATGCTGATAAAATTACAAAATAACTAACTTAAAATCAGAAGGCAGACTGGGGAGAAGATAAAATGAGAATGGTTTTCACTTTGTAGCAGCTTCAGTTGTCTGAGGTACGTTTTTCTATCACTGTAAAAACATAGTCAAGCACGAGCACGACTGTATTTTTAACTTAGTACTCTGGTAACAGTACGGATTGGAGTTCGATTTGGAGTCCAATTTGGATAGATCACACCAGTCCATAACTAGCAAAATCGGACGACCGGGAGTGCGAGAGCGTTTCCTTTTTTAATATTATTATTTTTTAAAAGTCTTGATTATAACAGGCCGAATGGGACGACAAGAAGTTCAGGTATTTAAAAATGGGAAGAAAGAAAAATCGCATAAACTTACTTTTTGGTGAAAACAGTAGTTCTAAGAAATAAGAATTCAAAATTCATAAGCGAAGGTATCACGGAAGTACAACTGTTTTATAGTAACCCATACATATGACAAGAGTATTGTCCAAGAACACCAGACACGACTATTCATAAAAATAACACCAGCATAACACGTAAACCGTCCAGTAAAACTACGCATGAAGCGTAAAATGTCCAACAATACCACGCGCAGGTTGTACCTGCACCAGGCTAACCTATGATTTTAAAAGAGTTCCTATTTTTCGCAGCAGTGAGAAAACGCGAGATCGTGGGTTTGCACCAGGCATGACCATTAAAACAAGGCACCCCTCCTTCCCCATAACAAAGGCATGACTTATTGATTTTCCTTGAGTCTCATTTCAGGTGGTAAACGAAGTAAATTTCAATGTTGTTCTGACTCACGTGCAACAGTCGTTAAATTGTCGGGAATTACTAATCGTACTCTAAGAGCTAGTTACAGGGCATCTTTTCAAATGTACTTCGTGTTAAAATGCACTGTAACTCGTGGACTACAAAGAGCCGGTCTTTTCTCTTAGGTCTAAAGAGTGTTTATTCGCCAACACGAACCCAACTGCTCAGGCCCCGTCTGCACTGCGTCGGAGAAATTTTTAAAAAAGCGGTGTTTTCACTCTGAAAAAGGCATCAAGTGTTTCCCGTCCAAACTACGTGGGGGAACTTTGAAAACGCAACAATCGCCCGTCATTTTGGATTTGTGCTTGAGGAAAGCTCGGTCAGCGAAATCACATGCTTGTCGTGAAGTCATCGTTTTCGAAAATTCAAAATGAAGGTTTTCCGTACTCACTAAAACGTAAAGACGGTGTTTTCAAATTTCTCCGGTTTTCAGAGCATTTCCCTAAAGCTCTGTTTTGGTGACGGATTGGTGTGGCCTAACTCAAATTTCTCCGGTGTAGCGTGGACGAGGCAGCATCTCGCCTGCTACTCCCACTGATTTCGAGAGGAAAACAGATAAAAACAGATTACCAGCAGTCAGAGACACTCTTTTATTATGAGTGCATAGCCTTTAATGCTTCAGTACAAATATCATTAATTCCGTTGTTGAGAGAACATAATCACGGCTTGGCAGTCAGTCTCTCCTTTGGGAACAAAAAAAAGGAATAACACTGGGAACAATACTGCCTAACATAAAGATAAGTATGCTACCCTTTGTTATTGATTAATTATTTGCATTACCTATATTCATGACCCGTAATTACACAGAACTGCATGCGTCTTCTCGCTTTCCGCTACGTGTACTTGCTGCAAATGAATACGATCTTTTACAAGAGCCATCGTGATTAGTGAACATAGACTGTAAATTAAGCGCCTGATCTGGAAGCGGGTTAAAGAAACAATCTCAAATTCATTTAGGTTAGAGCTGCAGTTTGACTGCTTAAGCGGTTTTGACGGGTTTAACCAGAGAGAGCCGCAAGAAGTGTCAACAGACCAAACAGACTAATAGATTTCTCAATGTTTGTTAACAAGAAATGCATCAGTACTTGTTCCTTCAAGAACAGGTTTGCTTGGTGCATGTCGCTGAATATTTTTCATGTTTGTCTTGATCAACAATGAAATTTAAATCACAAGCTTCAAAAACATTTTTTTTGCCTGAGTGGTTTTGGCAGGCTCAATTAACCAGAGAAAGCGGGTGAGGCGTTCGGGTTCTTTTTGCGCCGATTTGTAGTACATTTATCAGATTTAAGTCGGGAATGTGTGTTTGATTCGTTCCTTGCTAGAATTGCTTGTATTTCTGTGCGTTTTAGCGTACGTAACGCATGAGTTAGGCTGACTTTTATTGTTTTTGCTCAATGTGCGAAAAAATGTGAAACTACTTTGCATACTTCTTTGGGAGGGTTGTGATCCATAAAAAACAACGCTCTCGCTATTTAACAAAAGCAAGCCGGACACCAGCTTAACCAATCAGATCGTGTTTTTACCAATTAGCTCCTGGACTATGCTTCGATATGCTGATAAAATTACAACATAACGCGTCGCGTTAGAGAAGGCCTGAATCGGAAAGTGGAGTAAAATGCGGCCCAATTCAGCGCGGATCTCGATTTGTAGAAATTTCACATTTATACCGTGAGGTAAGTGTTAATTGATGTTACATGGCTTACCTGATCATGGTGATATAACTAAGAAGTTTAAAGTTAACCTTGATTCGTCAGGTTTGTTAGATCATGTGAAGCCAGGCGAAGTGCTCGAATTGATGGACGGCGCAGGTCTTTGTACCAATTAATCATAACTACAATAAGTTTGAAATAGAAAAAAGCTGAAACGTTAACGTATTGGTGAATAAAAGTGCGGTAGTTGAGTTGCTTTCGAGATCCATGACCGAATTACTTTATAACAAGACGCGGGATTGCAGAAAAAACGGCTGTCTATTTGCATATCATATTCAACAATTGCACTACGAGCCCGAGTTTTCTACAAACACTGCTTGGTTGACTATGACCGAGAGAATTGCTAGCATTTAGTATATAATTTATAAAGTTGCCGTAGTCTCATTACACACAAAAAATGTCAATTGACATCAGACAATTCAAGAGGGTTTAAAAGATCTTAAAACATTCGGACACTGTGCACTTATTCGCTAGACAAGTCATGCATGCAACTGTCTTCTGCAACAGATATCAATAGATCCAATCAAATTTACGGATTCACAATAGACTACGGTAAATTTAAACTAAATTAAAAAATTACAAAAGAACATATTCCCATCGTGCTTAATTATTTTTACGCTATATTGTACTATATTTAAGAAATAGAAAACATGTACCGTGTTTCTATCACGAATGCCGTTCTCTGATCGGCTACGCTACTCACTATATCTATTTAAACAACAGAGTGTTTCTGTTGAGGAACTATCGGCTGATAGTTGCCCCGCGGGAATTTGATGTTCTTAAAACAAATATGGTAGTTTTCAGAAAATCAAATTTCCAAGGGGCAGCTATCAGACCGATAGTTCCGAGACACAAACACTCTATTGTCTTTATTGTTCGCCAATAAATTTTCCTCCGCGCTCTAGTTCAAAAATAATATTGAACTATTTTCCACTTTCTTAGAAGAAAGCCGTGAAAACCCAATGTAAAATTTAAAAAGGAAAATAAACAAAACCCACTTAATACAATTGTTGGTGTTTATTTTTTTATAAGCCCGCTGGTTTACAGAAACTTTTTCACGGACAAGCACTATCCATCCGGGTATTTTCAGTCTGTTTCGGGTAAAAAATTTCTTATATTTACATATGAACAGAAGAGATTCGTTAACTCAACCGATAGCTCTGTACAACGGGGTGTCTTGTCTTCCCAGGAGCTGTTTCACGTAAATTTTAAAATTAGAATAAATTCAGTCAAATAAATAATTAACAATTATTCCACGAGCGCCCGTTGGATATGAGATAGTAACCTGCAATCAGGCGGGCTTTTTTGGAAAGGGAGAAGAGAAAAGGAAGGGAAAAAAGTATCAGGTTAATGCATAAGATGGTAGATAGGCAACGAGGCGCGTAACGCCGAGTTGGCTATAAACAAAACATGGCTATAAACAATACATAAACATGGAATGTGCGGAATAATTGTTTTATTAAAATCACCTCAAAATATTGAAAAACAATAAAAAAGAACCAAAAAATTACGCGTTCGCGGACCTTATTTGTAGAGCATGGTGTAATGGCTCATATTATATGAAAACTCTTGAATTTTATTATCCAAGGATCCAGTTAATAAATAGTCCACGGTACCGGTGGATTATTTTCATTACCTTTCCTGTCAGGAAATTTGAACGATGTGATAGCGAACACGAAAAACAGGTGTGCAAATAACAAGAACATATTAACTTAGAAGCTGTTTTATATCAAGTTTTTCTTTCACTCAAATTGTCAAGCTGACATTGCTACAATCTTCTCCACCATTTGCATTTTTATTTCAGATTTCTACCATGCCATGCCAATAAAATAGCAGCAAATGGAGTTAGAATACGATCGCCTGGAAACAGATCCAAAGCAAAAGAAAAATCCCAAGAAAACCGCCAACATCTTCTCCATTCTTTCATTCTGGTGGGTGGGACAGCTTCTTGACCTTGGAAGCAAGCGTTCTCTGGAAAATGATGATTTATTTCCTTTACTTGAAGAGGATAAAACTCAGACGTCGACTGAAAACCTTTACCGGACGTGGAATGAAGAGAAGAGTCGCCCCTCAAGCGAGGGAGCTTCAAACGGACGTAGACTGTTTAAAGCGATTATCCGAGCGTTTTCCGTCGTTGATTACCTGTTCATTTTGAGTGTAGGTTTGGTGCCTGGGGTTTGTAATGTTCTTCAGCCCGTGTTCTTGAGTCTGCTGTTACCGGCATTAATGAAGTACTCGACAAAAGAGGCATATATCTACGCTACTGGAATCTGTTTGAGTTCTTTCGTGCGTGCTATTGCTACCCATCAGTACCGTTACCATGGAGATTTAATGGCTCTTAGATGGAAATCAGCAACAGTTGGAATTGTTTACAGAAAGGTGAGTTCACTTATTTATCTTGTTAAAAATACAAATCAAGCATAGAGTGAATCATCAGCAATCAGTTTTTGGCCTCTGTGTCTTGTCACATCAAATGAGAGATTCCTTCCCGCGGCAATGTCTCGAATGGAACACTCCGTGTTTGTCGAGAGTGTCGATGAAAAGATAGTTCTTTTTTAAAGTAGCTCAAAACAGTTTCCAGCATTTTCCAAGACTTAAATTTTGATGGGTCATCAGAACCACTCTTTGATGCTATAATCATGGTATCAAAAAGCTGCTCAATCATTAATGAACACGTTGTTATCATGTTTGTGACACAATAGTTATCATAGCAACAGTATAACCTGCTAAAAACACTCTTAATTAAAGTGGTACTATGACGAAAATCGCATCTCTCCTATCTAAGCCATTTTAAAACATAAACAAGTAGTCTTCATGAGAAGAAAAATGCCGTTTACTATTTTCAAATGTCTCTTTTCGTTCCTGAGATATTCAAGTTTTTAAAGTATGCAAATTAGCCAAATGATGACGTCATACACAACCAAATTTTGATCAAATATGATGAAGAAAGATATCGCAGCCAATTTTTATCAGAAACGTTTGATTCTTTGCAGTAGGATTCTACTAAATGTGCTCCACAATACGAGCATAACAGTTTTGTTACCATGGCAACATACTGGGTTCCAGATCTCCCCAATATTAAAGGCTTTTCTGGCCACCTTTGGCAATCCATTTTGATATTTGCTAATGGTGTCTCATATGCACGATCCAGCAGGCATGTAAATATGTTAGCTCGAACTGGCCTTCTGGCCTCGTTTAATGTTTTTAAGCTGAAAATCACTAACAGGTGTGTTTCCTGTAGAACTATTAGCCTACCAAGTTTCAATGGATTCTCTTGTAAATTGACCGAGATAGCTCTATTTATATACTTAATGTAATATTGCGTTGAGTATATGACGTCATCAGTCATCTCATTTGCATGTTTTACACATTTTTCACACTTAAATGTCTCGGGAACTAATGCAGATATTTGAAAACGATAAACGGCGTTTTTATTCTTTCATGGAACTCTATGTGATACACCTAAAAAATCAAGGGGTAACAATTTGATCAAAGTACCACTTTAACTATAGCCTTAAAGGCATATAATTCAAAAACGGCTCGGTAAAATCAAATCAAATCAAATTTTGATGTGCAGGATAAGACGGAACTTTTGGCAAAGTCTTAAAATGAACTGTTGTTGGTGACTGACACTTCGACAACCTGAGCTGAAGTCATCTTCAGAGTGTTAGTTAGTCGATGATGTTATAAGTCAGTCACCGACAACTGACAAGTACTCTCACCTGGACGATCACACATACTACTGATACTGCTGGATTCAAACCATTTACTAGATTTCAGAGTTCCAAGAATTTTAAAAACAAAATTTATTTATCACTGTCCTGTAGCTGCCCCAAGTTAAAAACTCTTTACTGCATGTTTGTTTCATCTCGTAGGTTCTCTGTCTGAGGCAAGCAGATTTATCGACTTTAACGAGCGGATATGTCATCAATCTCATTGCTTCAGACCTGCAACGTTTTGATCTAACAGTACTTAGTTTTGTTCTCTTAACTCAAGCACTGTTTGAGATCCTTAGTGTCTCGATCTTCATGTTTTACCTGTTTGGCTGGAAACCCTTGACAGGCGTGATGTTTCTTATTACGCTTACAATTTATTACGGTATTATGGGAAGAGTCTGCAATACTTTAAGGTCAAAAATCTCCAAAGTGGCTGATCAGCGTGTTGATATCATGAACTCCATCATTGCTGGAATTCGCACAGTCAAGATGTATGCCTGGGAGTGGCCGTTTATGGAAAGAGTGCAAAGGATACGAAGGTAATTAAGAATATTTGCACGTGTTGCTCATTTCATATGAAAAGGAGGGGTGCTCTTCCTACCTTTTAGGGGTTAAAAATGAGGTTTGGGTACCTCTTAGGGTGTTCAGACTCAAAAGCTGTCATTAAAGAAGCTACATGTACGTCAGGGTTTGCGCATCTTGAAACGTTCGTCGTTTGTAATCCGTGTCAATCTTTTCCATCCTTAACCATCCTTGTTCCTTAATGGATTATTATTATCTCTTTGATCTTTTTCTATTTTACTATACTATTATTTTCAGGTTTCCTTAATTTTAAAGGTAATCTTGAGCGAGGCCCAAATAACCCAAAATACCATGACTTAGCTCCTGCCTAGCACCTTATTCCTATTAAGCGTCTCCTCTCCAATGAGCTCCCCTCCCTCAACTATCGAAGTAAAATAAGCATCCCAGACGCTAAATCGAATCATTACGGCGTCCCAATTTTTCAGCAGATTAAACGCAGGATTAAAAAAATTGAATTTGTTATCTCTTTAAGGCAAGAAGTCCGACTAATTAAATGGAAAACAGCGATATTGGCAACCTTTGCATCGCTGATGTACACATGCACACCGATTGCAGCTTTCATTTCTTTGATTACCGTGGCATCGACAGGAATTGAGCTCACCTCATATAATACTTTTATGATTTTGTCCCTGATAAGTACACTGAGAATGACAGTCTCAGCCAACATTTCCATCTATGTGAACATTCTAGCAGATTTCGCGGCAGCTCTGAATCGCATCCAAGGTTTACTTGAATTTGACAATGACAACATCGACAAATATCTACAGGACACCTTCATGGAAAATGGTGGCAATAATTCAGGACACGAAAATAAACTTTCCAAAAGGGATGATTCTTCAGGTTTAAACGAAAGTGTCGAAACTGATATTCACCGTCACAAAGATCCTGTCGTTTTACTACAAAACGTCGTTTGCAGTTGGAGTGGAAATTCTAACACACCAACATTGAATTCCCTGTGTTTGTCAGTCGGCCAAGGTGACTTGGTGTTCATTACTGGTCGCGTGGGCTGTGGTAAGTCGTCCCTTCTGTACACCATTCTTCGAGAAATTCCACTTATTACCGGAGTAATATCTTATCAAGGGAAAATTGCCTGGGTTGGTCAGCAGCCCTGGATTTTTTCTGGTACCGTGCGGGACAATATTTTGTTTGGCGAGCCATTTGACCCGAACAGATATGAGAAGGCATTGGAGGCATGTGACCTGACCAAAGACTTGCAAAGATTTCCAGATGGTGATTTGACTGTTGTTGGAGAACGTGGGACAGTCCTGAGTGGTGGTCAGCAGGCTCGTGTTGAATTGGCACGCGCAGTGTATTCCAATGCAGATATCTATCTACTGGATGATCCACTTAGTGCAGTGGACTCAAAGGTGGGGCATGATATCTTTGAAAAGTGTATCAATGGCTTATTGGACAATAAAACTCGGCTGATGATCACTCATAATCTCGAGGTCCTGCAAGACGCCAACCACATCGTAGTAATGGAAGAAGGTTCAATTTTGGCCAAAGGTGACTTTTCGACATTGTGTGCATCTGGTTTTGACCTAGATACCATCGTCCAAGGCGCTGAACAGAAACCTAGTACTGTGCAGATGGAAAAGCACCTAAGTCAGGGCATATTGGAGAATGAAATTAAGTCAGAGCAAGAATATGCCAGACTGGAAATTGCTGAAGAAGATCGCATGGTTGGTGCTGTATCGTGGAAATTATACTGGCACTACATCCAAGCTGGAATGCACGGTATTCTGGCTACAGCTTTGGCTATGTTCTTCCTCATCGTTCAAGGTTAGTTAGTGCCTACAAAAGCATTTTATACTTTCGTTCTTTTTTGTTCTGTAAGTTAATAACGTGGTTTTCTTTCTTTTTTTTCTTTTAGGATCACTCATACTTCCTGATTGGTGGCTACTTCATCTGACACGTCAATCACATGACCCGCAGCAGCAGACGGAGAATCTCTACATCTATGGTGGCCTGGTGGCTGCGGCATTGATTTTGTCAATCATGAGAGCGGGAGCATTTTTCAACGCAGTAATAAATTCCTCTAATCACCTTCACAACTCGATGCTATCAGCAGTCTTAAAAGCTCCGGTTCTTTTCTTCGACACTAATCCTATTGGACGGATACTAAACCGGTTTTCTCGAGATATTGGCATCATGGATGAGATGCTACCAAAAGATTTCCTAGATGCTGTTCAACTGCTTCTGTTCTGCGTCGGAGCAGTTGTTCTTCCGTCTATCCTGAACCCCTGGATTATCCTGCCCGCCACCCCGCTCATAATCACTTTTATTCTGATCGGGCGTTACTACGTAACAACATCACGTGATGTGAGGCGACTGGAAGGAGTAAATCGAAGCCCGGTACTTTCTCATTTTAGCGACTCGTTGATGGGACTGGTGACTATTCGGGCGTATGAGAGGGAAGATGGCTTTCTGAAAGCGTTATACAGGTTTGACTTGATAACTTTCCTTTTCATTCCTAAAACATCTTTATGAATCTGACTCTGTACAGTTTGAACCATTGCTTTGTTGCAGTAATAAAAAAATAGTGAAGTTCGTTCGACGCTTTCACGTTGTTTGCCCAGACAACACTGCTGACTGGTTTTGCACAAACTGAATATCCGTAAATCTTCAACGCACTTCATCGCAATCACACCACACAATGCGAACTTTTAACAGATCTTTGCATGCATTGCGTTGTTAATTAAGTACAAAGTTTCTATGCTTTACTCCACGAAATTTGCAGCTTGAACAAATTATTAAAGATCCAAATTCAACCGATTTCAGACCTAATTTACGATCAACTTGCGATGTATGTAGTTGTAGCTGACACAAGTCTCCATCCGCAAAGTGTCGTCCCTTTGCTGCACAGCAAAAGAGACAATTTTTTTACGACTCGAAACTCGTGACAGCGGAACGGTAGGGCAAAACCATGCGCATAAGGTTTGGGAATGACATCATTCACCCTCAAGATTTGCCACTGGAAAGATTTATTGATTATGAGAATGTCGAAAAATCTTGAAAAATTCTGACTCCTTACACTGGAAAAGAGCTTTCAATTGACACAGGTTAAGGTTGATTTGATGATTGAAAAACTAATTACCATGGAAGCCGCTATGGAATCACACGCCAGCCAGTTGAATTCGCTCTCCCAGATCTTTATAAATCATAGTTTCTTTTGGCAGTGAATTCCGTTTTGTATTTGCTTGTCAGCTTGAGTGGCGTTAACTTTGCATACAACAGTAACTGTTTCTCTTCGAAGTACTGTATTTTCATATTAATTAGCGTGCTGCATGCTTTTTATATCTTTTCAGATATCAAGATGATCACAATAAGGCTTGGTTCTCGATTTTTTCCGCCATGAGATGGTTAGGAGTCCGTCTGGATATGATCTGCGTTATTTTTGTCACTTTGGTTGTGTTCCTTGCTATAGCTACGCAGTCTGGTTCAGGTAAATCATTTTTTACCAGTTAAATTTTTTGAGTCACTCTGACCCTCTTAAGAATTTAACATCTACATTTTTTCAAAACATATGTAACTTGTCACACTATCGCTCTCTTTTCTGCAAAACAGCTGGTTAAATGTCGTAATCACCGCAGTTAGAGTGCCGACTGTGCAGTTCTTTCAGCGTCATCTGTAATGAGGCTGATCCTCCCCCTTGAGGTTCCTAACCTGTCAGGGTCGATCATTCGTACAACATGAATTCACCCTTTACAATTTTAACACTTAAAGTGAGGACACTCGAAACGTGAGCAGAAAAAAATTATGACTGAGGTAATGTCCATGGTTTAATTCTCTTCCTAGGTATTTAGCAGTATTTCACGTTCGCCCTAGCCTCACAAACAACAACAACAACAACGAAAAATTAACTGAGGCAAGTTCCACGGTTTGCCTCATACTAGTTTAGGCCGTGGACTGACTTAACATATTTTTGCACATTCGTTCGGTGACTACAGAATGAGGGTTCTTCATCCTAACCAGAAGAATATTTAGCGCTTTTACATTGAAAACACACCACTCTTGTGCATTATATCGGCATTCATTCTATAGTAACCGAAATATTGTACGAAAATGCATCTTTTTCAAGTGTTCATGGCTCGAGTGTCCTTAGAGCAATTAAGCAAATACCTGCTTCCACAATTTTCAAGTATTTTCACTGTGAAAAGTCAGAGGTTAAAAATCCTAAATAACTGTTATTTTTAGGGAAAAAATGAGGTTACATGATATAACTCTCCTCAAGCGAAATACAAATTTTACCCTCATTTTAAAACCCGTAAATTTTTAAGAGTACGATCAGACTAAACTCGTGGATTAAGTTGATCAGTGTCAATCGTATTGAAGTCGAAACTTATTTGCTTTAATCGGTGTTTCGTTCTTAGGCATTACAGCTCTATCTCTTGTCTACGCCCTCCAACTTGCAGTAGATACGTCACAATATGGCGTCAGGCAGTGCTCAGAGGTTGAAAATGAGATGACGTCCGTAGAACGTGTCATAACATATGCTAACCTTGAGGAGGAACCTGGGTATGACTGTGATCAGCAGCTTCAAGACAACTGGCCGGAACAAGGTCGGGTACAAGTAAAGAATTTGGACCTAGTTTACTACGAGGGTGGACCAGATATACTGAAAGATGTCAATTTTAGTGTCGATTCGCAGGAGAAAATAGGAATTGTTGGTCGCACTGGAGCTGGCAAGTCGTCACTGGTTTCAGCTCTGTTTCGCATGCCTCAACCGACTGGAAAAGTCATTATTGATGACGTTGACATCGGCAAGATTAACATCCAAAGCGCTCGTCGAGCCATGTCAGCCATTACCCAGAATCCTATTCTGTTTACTGGTTCACTGCGCATGAACTTGGATCCTTTTGAGAAGTACGCTGATCAGGAACTCTGGGGTGCATTAGAAGAAGCTAGTCTGAAGACCATGGTGGAAAATTTATCGAACCAACTGAGTGAGGAGATTAAAGAATGTGGAGCAAACTTCAGCGTCGGCGAAAGACAACTTCTGTGTCTGGCTCGCGCTTTATTGAGGAGAAGCAAGATTATCATCATGGATGAAGCAACCGCAAATGTCGATTATAAGACAGATCAGTTGATTCAAGAAAC